TTTTGACAAGTCCTCAAGGGTCTTAAGTCTTGTATTTCCAAGAAATTGAATTTTTCATGAACATCGCCATATTTTAGGGTACCATACCCCCTTAATAGAGGTGGCCGCCTAATACAGGTAACAAACACAGCTTTTGTGTGAGCGAAAAATCGGGCTTTGAAAACTGGCCGCTTAATAGAGGGCCGTTATATACAGGTTCGACTGTACGCAGGAAACGGAAATGTGCTTTTACATCCTTCGATACAATTCTCAATTTTACGTACAGTGATTAAAAATCATAGCACCCTTCTTCGATTTAATCTGGTGTAATAATAAGTTAAGTTAAGCCACCATTGAAAATGATATTTTATCTAGTACATCGCATTTTATTTAAAATTGGCTCTAGCTTAATTCGTTTCTCCTCGTTGTGATAATTCAGAACGTAGAATTTCGTACCTTAAGGGACGGACCATAATTTTTTGGAAAGGGGGGGCGGGGGGGAGCGGGAGCTGGTCAATTCCACAAAACAATTCCGGCACAGCCAAAAAAAAGGTGCAAAGCCGAAGGAGAGCCAGGATGAAAAAAGGTCTTTCTACTATTATAATTTTGGTTTTTGATATTAAAATTCTTTCACAAAGTATTGCCCACCAAAAAAAAGTCATGCGCAACCTAAAAGCGATAAAAAAGTATTCATGCCCCTGAATATTGCCCACCCCCCGCACCCCCACCTCAAAAAATAATGGTCCATCTCCAACTATTGATATTTTTTTTTTCAACCAATCCCATGAGATTCAAATCACATGTTGAATGACAGGAAAGCTACCTAACTAAAAGCAATCTTTTGTTTATATCACTTATACAAATGAGTACCCTTCCTATAATTTATTCTCCAAGTGAACCAACCTAAAAGAGCTGTATCTATGACAAAAGCGGGTGTAACTTTCAGACCACAGATGCGACTATTTCCTATTCATGTAGGCGAGACATTTCTGCCTGACGTTTTCAGGTCGTTATATATACTCCGCTCTGTAAACAAAACCCCCCTAGACCCAACAATACGACGTACTAACCTTGCCTGACGTTATTTCGGCTTTGCCAAACAAGATTACTTAGATACCTGTCAATAAGCCTGCTATTAACATTAATTGCCTGCCTAGCATCTTTTGACTCGGACTCGGCTGTGTTAAACTTGAAAATTAACATAAATGCTCTCGTGATTTTTTTTTTTAAACATTTAGTGTCGTAAGCTTCTAACTCATTGTTCTTATCACTAAAAACGTAAAACCTACTAAACAAACAGTGATCGATCTCTTAACCCGATATGAACCGTAATATAAATTCTATAGCACAGAACTTTCCGACCTGTTCTCAATTCTTTACAGCAAAAATAATTACGCGCGGATAGGCAGCGACAAATAGGTTCTCAATGGGCTGGTGACTTTTACGGCTACGGGTTGACATATTTTGGCTTCTAATTTTCACGGCTAACGGTTAATTTAATTTCCTTCTCTTTGAAATTAATTCTCATTGTCTTAAAAAGTTAAAATTATGTTTAATTGTTTAAAAAATATTAAAAATAAATTTTGACAACTGAAAAACATATCTTAGGTCACTATTTCGGGATGAAAAGCGTTATTATTTCAAGAATTTTTGACAAATATGAAGTGTCCAGGCTTTTCGATTTCCTGTGCTATCAAACTACAAGACAAGACACAAAAAAGCTCTTGACAAGAAATCTTGTGACTTTCACTTTCCTGGCTAAATTGTTCTTACGGTTGACATTTTATATGAGTTTATATGGCTAACGGTTACATATTTTCCAATTTTTACGTCTAACGGGTACATTTTTGGCCCATTTTCCGGTTAACGGTTAACCCCATTGAGACTCTTGGCAAAGACTGTAAGATCCCTTGCACGTCACGGTATTTTAGATAATCATAAATAATCTCTACTCTAGCTACGACTAAAGCGCTGTATCTTTCCCAGCAGTAACAAGACCTTAACTTTAGAGCAAATCAACGCAAGATTTGCTTGAGAATGCTGCCTTTCTTCCTTACCAAGTTCTTGTCGGGGCTGAGTTTGTCCAGAAGTTTGTGGAATATTGCTTCAATGTTGAGATTAAACTTTGCCGAGGTGGCGAGCCATTGACACTTCCACTTTCCCTCCAGGTAAACACACGCACTGATTTTAAGACCATGAGCGTTGTGAAAGGTTGGCTCTGATAAGTTAGGAATATCAGATTTGTTAGATACAATGATGGTTGGAATCTTCCGGTTTCTGTCAGCACAACAACTCTCGATTTCCTCCATGTATCTCTCCAGCTTAGTAAAGGATTCCGGTTTGTCGAGAGAATATACCAAGACTGCAGCATCAGCTTTCTGGATCGCTAATCTCCTCATGGCAGGGAATTCGTACGTTCCAGAGGTATCAATGATGTGAAGCTCGTAAGCTTTGTTTCTGTGGCTAATTGGCTTTACATAAAACTCCTCCACTGTGGGGACGTGTTCGTGATTGTAGTCCTCACCGACAAGATGTCGGACAATCGAACTTTTTCCCACTCCAGAATCCCCGAAAATGGCTAAAGTGAACTTCTTGAAATAAACATGTTGGTCGGATGTCTCCGTTTCGTCAAAGAGAGCAGACTGCATCATGGACGCGTCATAAATGAGGCGATTTCTGGGCGACAAAGCTTCATGAAAACAAAACTCAAGCTTAGCTAGACGTTCCGCTCTCACTGGATTGCCTACTACGAAGTTTAAATAAATATTTGACTTCACTTCAGTGAAATACTATACGTGAAGGTGAAGATCGATGACAACATCGCGGTTCCTTGTTGAGACATGAATAACATCAGGATCGCGAGGTCGTATACACATAGACAATCGAGTAAAACTCTCTAAACTCAACCACTACATGCACTTTATCACTTAAACTCTGAGATTATGGGAAAAGTAAAATCAAGGCTTGTATTCTAAGAAGAGACATGTATTTTCTCATGTCCTCTCTTTTCTAAAAAAGTTCCGTAAAACACACCATTTGAGGCTCCGCCCTAAATTGCTAAGCCGGCGGTAATTTTTCACATTCATCATACAAGTCATACAACTGTGAGACAAATCGGCTTAAAGAAACCCCGCACCTATTGACTTCGAAACGAGTTCTTTCTTTAAAATAACTGGTGTGCTAAACAGCCTGTTCTTCTCATGCGCTACATCAGTCAAGTTTTTTTTCTTCTGAAAGCTCTCAACATTTAAGGAAGTCTCATTTAAGTTCGATTAGAGTAGAATTGACCGATGAGGTGGTTAATTACAATTAATTGACTAAAGCAGAGCGTTTCAAGTCTTTTTTAATTATTGCTATGGTATAAAAAACATAGTAAAAAAGATTATCAGATAGCTGTAATCGTGTGTAAAGAGATCTGCTTTATTCACCGCGAGTTCGATCATGCGATGACAACAGAGTGACATCATTTTGCCCCCAGGCACGTGAATCCATCAACGAGACTTCGTGGGCTTTTCTACGCTTGTTTTTGCTATCGCACAAAAGGGCCAGCTTACATCGTTTCCACCCTCTCTCTGTGTCCCTTCAAGATAGCCTCAGTTGACCATACTGCAGTTGAAAGGGGTCTGGTACTTCAAGGCGCCACTGAAATTAAACCGTAAATAAGTCGCATTCTTGCGGAAGAGAGATCGTGTATAATGGTTAGATCATTACATTATTTTACATGGAAGCGCTATTTGATAGGAAATCCTGTCAGAGTACGTAAGGCCAAGGTTTCGATAGCGGTTTGCACCTTGGCGGATTTGTACGCAGTCATCATCAGCCGGTGTGACCCTGAGGGACTATTGTTTTTTATATTTAATTCCTTTTAGTACGCAGCATGTTGTACCTCAGTGTGTCTGAAAATACCTAATCAACATTCTCTATGTATTTTACCAAATGCATGTGATATTTCGTATTCTGATTCAATCTTATCTAATCTGTTGTGATCTGTAATGATGGAAGATCTCTTGGTATGGCAAGAATTTTGTGCTTTTAATTTCTACAGTGTCAATGACTTCAATCTCAGTATCATCTGAAAATTACTTTGTCTGCAAATTACTTTGTCTGCAGTGTTTCTTGCTAAAACTGACTTTTTTTCACCTGTTGGTATGCGAAACAACAGGCAGGAAAATGAATTGATTTTCTAGACAATAATTACATTGAAAAGTGTTGACCTGGCTGTATGACCTACACGACACATTCTAAAATTGATTTTTCTCGCCCAGTCGGTCAGAAACGTTTGGCGCGAGTTAGAGTGTTAAATGCTCAAAATGTTTTCAACAAATTCCGCCCATTTGTTTACTGATAAATCCCCAACGCTCCGTTTTGAAAGTGTGATCGATATCTAGAAGATGTGGCATTTTTTTTGGCTCTATCGGTTTGGTTTCTCCCAGTCAAAATTAATGAAATTTTTTAATTTGCAGGTCGATCTACGAACCTCGCATATCTTTAGGATCGTTTACAATGCTTGCGGGGTAATTAACCCTTTCCTATGACCCCCTTGGTTAGTAGGCTGACTAGCGAGCAGGCACAGTTCCGAGCGGGTGCGCCTTCGAAAATTTGCTCTAACCACATTCAAGATCAGTGCAGCCTGTTTCTACGTTGACTCTCAGACAGTTTCAGGTCGCTTAATTTGCTCTCTCTCCTTCCTCTCCCATCGGGGAGTGGAGGGAAAGAGACAGGGACCTCGAACCCTCTAAGAGCCAGGCGTTCTGTTACTTAGGGGCAACGAGCCAAAAAACAAATGGGCGAGAGTGAAAATATGGGAAGAATTCGAGGAGAGGCTTCTCGTCTAATATTTTCTCTGGCCGTTTTTCAAGTACCCGCCTCCCCACTCCCTCCCAACTTATCAGGTTGACTGGCCGACAGATTATAATTATGGTTAGTATTTGGCAAGGATTAAAAAAAAAGAGCATTTGCCCTTAAAACTAAATTCAAAACGAAATGAAATACGTTTCCTGTAAGAGCTAAAGGGCTCTTAAGTAGATGACATCGATGAGACCAACAAATTTAACCACCAAGCCTCGCTTTGAAAATGCAAATTGCAAATTTTATCGAGAACAAATCCCCAAAACAGCCAATATAGAAAGAATTCTTGCATTAAAACAACCCGAAGGTGCTGGAGGTTTGAGAAAATTTCGCGTGAGCGAAAATTTGAGCGTGTATGTAGTCATGCATAAGAGTTATTGTAACCTGCGAATTTTGCCGCCAACCTCGCTTCTGGGGTCTCTCTTTTATTTTATTTTCCCTCTGCGGGAGAAGATGAGAGACTCTGGGATCGAGGTTCTAATTTTGAAAGCTTTTCTCGAGCTCCCACAAGTGTTTATTGCATCTGGGTGAGGATTGCGTGACGAACTTGGTGGGAGGCATGCTGACGGCCATGTGCCAGCAGCGGCAGTAGAGACTGGCAGTGCCTGTTTTGTTGTCTACTGTGAGGTCATTAATTCTCGTCACCTGGCGATATTAAATCAGCCTAAACCGTATCTAAGCATGTAATTTCATGCATTTAATTTCTTAAAGACAAACTACTATTGCACTTTTTCAATAAATGCCGAAGGTCACGGCAGCGTGTCACAGTGCTGTCATGACCTTGTCAATCATCTGATGTCTCATGATTAGCTTACGTCATTATGCGCATGCGTTGATCACGCGGTCAAATCGACAACGATTCAACGATTTGTCCAAGGTACTAATTAAATAAGGTGAATTGTAGAGGTTGAAATACTACTGAAAACTGTGTAACAATATTTTGGATGAAATCTCTTCTACAGACACAAAACATTCAGAACTGTTACTCCCACATTGATGGCATTAATGATTGCCTCAAATCTCATTTGGCGCCTTTCTCCAATTAGCTTTGCGCAGTGGCATTACCGTAGCCAGTGAGGTCTATCCGAGGCGCGGTTATTGCTGATTGAAAACTTTTCCCAATACCCCGCAAGACGGCTTGAAATACAGCCGGCTTTGCAATTTTTGACGGTCCATACGTGGACCCTACAAAATAAAATCAAATAAATGGTTTTCACTATCACGCAGTGAATAAATAAATCGAAAACTATCCAGTGGATAAAAGTCAAGAAATTTTGATATTATAGGAGACAGGTAAAGAAGACTCCTCCAAGTTTTGGGTCTCTGCGTTTTCCCAAACTTCAGATATTTGTCGAAATGTTTTGCGCAAATTTGCAGTATGGAGCCGCCATGTTGGTGGAGCTCTGTGCTCCACCAACATGATTATCTTTTATGATTAAATTGTTTCGTGCATATATTACAGGGTCGAGATCTTGACCGTACAGAAGTACGGACTAGGCGCATAGAAAACCATACAAGCAATTATATAAAAGGCCAAGGGCTGGTATTCTCCCAGTAGATGCCGTGCAAATTAGGTTAAAAACTAAATATTTTCAGAAAAATCTAACTATGATGGACTGGAAAGACACCGTAAATATAAAGCGCGTAATTCTTATCGAGAGCGGACTTGGGGCTAACTGAAGTCTAACGTTTGCAAAACAAGAAGGAAAAGAGAAAGAAGAGGACGGAGAAGAAAGACAATATTTTTACGTGTAAGTTGAATCTTTTTAAAAAGGAAGCTATGGCACTTGGAAACGTTCAAGAGATCGAGTGTTTGCGAGCGATCATTCGGGACAGAACGTTTCATCGTTGTGGGATCAAATATTTTGGATTACTAGAATGTTGTATCCATGTGAGAGTAAGTAATTTATAGGGTAAGGGAAGATGTTGTTGTTTTATCCTCGGTCCAGTGCGATTTAAAAGCTCATGCCATTCGCTCTTAAGGCATTTCCATTTCCTAATATTTTTTCGACCCATTTCTTTGAGGGGGCAGTTTCGCCGTCAGGCAAAACCACCGTTCTTGAGAAATTTAAAAGTCGATGAACCAATGCAACAAAGACATGGTTTCATTGTAAACGTGTTACAAGAAGCAAGAACATTTAATCATTGTGGAATCAGATTCAGAGAATCACGCGACCCATCAATTTGACATAAAAAAGCAATGGTCTGCATGCCTAAATTAAGGTTACAGTATACCTTCAGGGGTGTCTCGCGCGCAAGCGATGTAGCGCGTGCAGTTTAAGCTGTAGATACCTAAACCCTTATATCAAATTA